ACACACACACACACACACACACACACACACACACACACACACACACACACACAGTCTTTAAAACTCAGAGAGGCATGTTGAATCAAAGCATGCTCCTTATACTGTTCTGTTATACAAATCCTTATACCCTATATTTATATATATTTACAGTCTAACATCATGTATATACTGTATATATAGTAATTAGTAATCCATCCCTTATTTATTCCATAATTGACTCCAACATCTTTGCACCCGGCACCATTTGCAATCCATATGAGACATAACGAGTCACCTCCATCTAAATTTAAATGCAGGTATCGCTCTATGTGTCTGTCCATATGGCAAACTGTTCAGGTTCCATGGCTCCCATGTTCCGCTTTGGTACACGGATATGAGCTTTATTAGAAAACTGTCCTTTTTCACTTATTCAAACATTTAAATGACAACACTGTGAACACCTTTTGTGAGAGATTGGCCAAAGGTGAATATCCGTTTACCCATATTTATATTATAGTCACAAGTCACCTAGAGTGAGTTTTTGGCCACTTAGAACAATAAACACTTTTGCTTTCAGATATGGTTCATCACTGGCACACATGCATGAGCATATCTTTGACAAAAATGGCTGAACCTTTTACCCAACTCGACCTGCACGGGTCACGAGGCAGTTTCCTGAAAGTCACAGGAGTCTAATAAAGATGCTTGCAGTACCTCATCCTACCATTTGAAGCCACCAGTGAGAGAAGCAGCTTGGGATATCTTTTTAAGGACTACCTCACCCATTGTTTGCTGTAGACACATCGGTCCAGCTATATATCTACCAGTTTCACTGTGTGTGATTCTGATTTGCCTCTGTGTCTGTCTGTCTTTGGCCCTTCCTGCATGTTTCTCGCTCTTTCTCAGCCTAATGGGTTCTCTACTGCTCCCTTTCTGCTTGAATTTCTGGTAGCTTGCCTGTCTTTCTCTCTGTCTTTTTGCTTATCTATGAATCTATTAAGTGACCGTCTCACTGTATGTGTGTGTGTCTGCGTGTGTGCTGAATGGATTTGCATGCGAGCCAGTAGGGTGATCCTGCTCTCTCACGCCAAGGCTTGTGTGGAACAAATAGGACTGGTCGGATGTCGTGACAGCACTCACATCAGTTTAAATAAGAGCGCCTGTGCTGCAGCCGTGCATGTTTGCGTCTCTGTGTGTGAGTGTGTGTGCGTTGAAGCAAACAGCCAGGCACGCATTTAACCAGAAAAGGCTTTGCTGGGCTTTGTATGCGAGTAGGAGTGAGTGCTTCTGTATATATATATATGTGTGTGTGTGTGTGTGTGTGTGTGTGTGTGTGTGTGTGTGTGTGTGTCCAGGGTGGTGCACAGTATCTTGTGAGGTTTGAGGTTTCGTGAGGAGGAAGACAGATATTAACAGTTTAATGAGCTCAGTGGGGTTTGCACAGAGTGACACACGGGCCAAAACACTCCACGGAGTTCCTTTCGGCAGGAACAGGTTCGTCCTGTAAGGCCAGCCTGCCTTCTGAATAAATGAACGCCGTTGTGGGGTTAAACAGAGTTCACTTTGACATACATCACTGCAATTATAATGACTACTGACCACAATTGTCATTTAAAACACTTAGTCGTGATGCCTGAGATTTAAAATAGACGTGTTATTTTAGAGGGTGCAGGCGGGGGCAGCTAAACACTGGATCTTAATTAAGTTAATTATTTTTGGATTGTTTGCTTAAACAAAAGGTTCGTTTTTACGCCTGTTTCATTTGCTTCCTGCTCCCATTCAGTCATTCAGATTGATATTTCCTTTCATTTTCTTGTGTATTTCCAACAGCTACTGCATATTTTATAACCATCATCTACAGTCTTTAAAAACGCATGTTAAATTGATTTTCTTAATAAGCTTGAAAAGACAAAAGTTTCTTTTTATAAAAAAAAAAAAAATAGTCATGTCTGTAGGAGATTATTTTCTGGAGTAGACGTTTCTAGTGAGTGACAATGAACAGAGTGCAATGCAGCGCCCACACCGATACAAACACCATCTATTCTAGTGCACTTAAAAAATAGCCAACCTAAGGTACATATTTAAGGTGAATGCCATATCTACCTATGACTACTTACAAGTCTGCAGTGGACATTTTTAAATCTACCACAAGAACGAACCACTGTGCTGACAGTTTTCTTTTGAGGTTGTCGTGTGTGTGTGTGTGTG